GGAAAATTTGGAAAAAAGAGATTGGGTTTAAGAAAAATTCTGTTGACATGTATGTATTTCATAGCATTTTATTAAATTGTGAATTCAAAATGAAAGAAATGACAGAGAAAATGCTTGACTTTGTATAACTATGTCAAACCTTCATGTTGCTGTTATTTGGCCTCACGTGTGTCTCTATAGATTTTTACATGAGTTTTGTCATCCTGTATGCTCTGATGAGCGTTTGAAGCTCAGTTGTGTAGGCCACCACAAGGCAGTTTTACCTTGTTTCACCACAGTTGCTTTAGCCTCTCCTTGCTCCTCCTTTTCATGAGGAAGAGTCATTGTTATCATGGTCTCTGATATTTTTTCTAGATCTTAAAACGGTCTTTAAGAACAATGCAAACTTCATTAGAAATCGTAGAACTGTACATTGAGGCTTCATTACTGACTGCACATCAGAGATAAAAAGAAAAATTTGAATTGTCAAGCATTTGCTTCAATCTTGCTAGCACTTTTCAATCACAGCACAGGATACCTCCATTGGTGAGGTTAATTGTCCACTTACTGGATCCATACTTTTTCCCAGCATTTTTCTCACATGTATAATTACAGTCTCACTCAGCACTGGTTGAAATCTGTTATAGGTGGCTTCTATTTTCACATTAATTCCTGTGAAGTGTCTAACTCACAGAGGGTCTAAATAAATATCACCATATTGTTTTCTGGAGCTCTTCATCAAATGGACACCATTAAAACTCTCAACAGGCCTGTAGTAGTGTAAGTTTTTACTCAGCCTAATACCAGGTACAGTTCTGTGTTTATACCTAGTCTGTGTTACAGAGAGTTTATTTGTATCTATGTTAAATAGTATTTATTATTTAATTTGATTGTCATAGCTTTTTCTTTCCCCTAATTTTCTTTTTTTAAAAAAATTATTTCTTATTCTTTACTCCCGATTATTGCATAATTGTTGTTTCTAGCTTTTTTGCTGCCATTGTTGCTGCCCAGCACTAAGAATTTTATCATATAAGGAAAACTAATGTTTAAAATTTAATTATAATCAATTTTTAAAATCAGTTGATCACTTTGTGTGGGTGAAGCCATACATTCTGACCTTCCCTATTTTATAGTTCTGTGGTGAAAAGCCAGAAAAATCTCTGAAGATTTGATACTGTAAATCTCCTACCTATAAAATACAAGTACAGATTTTTTTGCTTGCCTTTGTTTTTGTTTGTTTTGTTTTTATTTTTTAAATATATATGTTAAGATATTTTGTTATCTTTATTATTTTTTAAACAGGCTTCATGTTGAAGGCTGACTATGATACACTAGCAGGCTACTCATCCAGAAACAAAGCCATAGGCTGTCTGTGAGGCTCCCTGCTGCCCACATTACCACTCACGTCCACCCTCTTTATCAAGAAACTTAACACACGAGAAAGCCTGTTAGTATCTGTAAGAACTGTGGTTTGGTCATATACACCTGTAACCTTCGCATTTGGGAGGGTCCCAGTTCAGACCTAGCAGCATCTATATAAACTCCTGAATCCTGAGCAAGCCTCGGCTCCATACACACTCGCCTTTGAAAAGTTAACCTCTACAAGACAAGATGAACCTTTAGTAACAGGGTTTTACTTGACGTTAGGCAAAGCGGAATTCCTCCCCATGTGTTTAATTGAAGGAGTGTTTTGTTGTTGTGCCTATTGGGGACTTACTTATTTTGACTCATTTAAATTACACAGATGTATAACATCATTTTAAAACATTATTGATCACCTGCAGATATTTTGTGTATTTTAAAAGAAAAATAGCTGAAACATCATATATTTATACTTTTAAATTATCTCTTTTCAACTAAACACAGTACCTAAATGCTAAACATTAAAGATTGTCTTAATGTCGTTGAGTTTGACAGTAAGACACTCTGTGCCCTGAGTGCATCCACTCATTTCTTTGGTGTTAGTGATGTGGTTTTTACTTTTAAAAACATGCTGTGTATTTGAATGTTTTTCTGTTCTAAAATTTCTGTGGCATGGCCTTGTACTTACTGTCTCTTTGTATTATTAGTAGTTCTGTTATACAGATACTGTGAAATTTTATGTTACAGCATTTTAGTAATATTTTATAATATCGAAAACATTGATATTTCTTCAGAAGCCTTATTTTTTATTTCTTAAAAGCTCACGTTAGAGCTTCCGATTTATGTGTTAGTTATTT